GAGATTTCACGCTGACTCATTTTCTTCTGACATTTCAATGGTTTTTATCCTTTTCTTCAAACAGAATCTTCACATTTTTAAACTTAAATCTATTTCACTAAACAGAGAATTTGATGACTCTAGACTTTAGGCAATACGAGTTTGATCATTACCAAATTTGCATTCGTTTATTAATCTGGGATAATGTAAATTTTGTGAGGTGTCAAGTATCTCATAAACTTTGTGTGCCTTTTTTCAGTATCACGACACGTTCAGGTTTATACATGATAATACTCCTGAAAATTATATTGTTGAATTCGTATAGCTTGCTAAGAAAAATTAAAGAAATTGATTTTTTTTTATTTAGGTGGTTTAATACTTTTGGCCGTTGTCCACTATATATATATATATATATATATATATATATATATATATATATATATATATATGCTAGACTCTTAATAAGGTTATGCAATGTCATTTGCCTTGATAAAGTCCATCAGAGGATGAATCGCGTCGCGTCGTGATTATTGAGTTATAAAGTTTATCAAGAAGTGTAAGGTTAATTCTTTATTATGTTTACAATTTAGTGTAGTTTCATATCGTTGGTTTAAGAATTCAAGAATTTTATTATTTCCGTTTTCTCCTGCAGGTAGAGGAAGCATGTTTTATTCACCGATCTAGAGATTCTACCTTGTTTGAGAATTTTCCATCCTTACAATCTTGCTAAGCTTCATAACAATAATCACTCCTCTTATGTTCTATTATCTTTATATAAACATTTAATGTTATTATCAGTGATTTATTCTAGCTTCAGGTATAATATTGGTTTGTATTCGTAAATTACTGATAGTATACTTAACCATGAATTAGCTTATTTTATTTTTTCTCTTGATGTATTGATAATAGTTTCAAATTTAAAAGTTTCAAATTCACTTTGTCTTCTAATTTATAGTGTAAGGTCGATTTTTTAAAGTATTTTATTGCTTTTCAAAGTGTCCTTTATTTACGTTCTATGGATAATTTTGTTTGAATATATGATTTCATAAAAATGCCATAAAATTTGAAATGCAACATTGTAACCAATTTATCTTGCCGTTTCATTTCCGTTCAAATTTGAATTCTCTTATTCAATATAATTTCATTAGCTTAATTCGTATCAACATCTCGTATGTTATTTTCTTAACTTTCCTCTTCCTTTGCATCTGTGTAATTTTGAATATACTCTTCTCTTTCTTTTTTGCCTATTCTCTTTGTAGTTCCTTATGCTTTCTTTTGCCTTTCTTTTATTTCCTCTTTGTGACACTATTTAGCTATGGTAATTGGCTAACTAATTAAATATGGAAATTAAAAGTGAGAAATACTTAAGGCAAGAAAAAGCTATAACGAAAGACATACTGAGCGATGTTATTTTTTTTAACAAAAGAAAAATGAGTAAAGATTTTATTTTCATTTGAGAAGAAAGGTATTTTTTTCGCAGAAGATAGAAAATTCGTAAGATCTCGGATCTGTCAGAATTAATTTATGCCATGACGCGGCGAGGAAAGGCAGAATGCGGGTAGAAGATAGCAATCTGCCCATAGCAATAATGAAAATTTCAATTTGGTCAAGAGGCTTATAAAGCAGAATGCTAGAAGATAATCGAAAACTGGGTCAAGAATGCGACCGAGAAAGAATTAGGTGAGACCACCCTAAAGAAAAAGGAAGGAAAAAGAGAAAAAGAGTAAGCCATTAACTATCTTTCGGAGATATTATTTGGTTTTGGAAGGAGAACCATCTGTGGTATGTCCAGAACTTGCCATGATAAAAGTTTGTTACCTGGACAAGCTGTTGGCGACAGAATGCGATGATGTTGAGAAAAACAAAGAGATTTAGTTGACCACCCAGATAATAAGTCGGCAAAAATCCCATTAATGAATCCAACATGACATCAAGTTAAGATAAAAATTTGATGCCCACAGTACGATTCATGGGGGTTCTGCCCGATGGAAAAGAAAGAAAAGAAAAGGGAAGATAATTTTTTTCTTTGAGCGATAATTGTAAACTGAGGCCAGTCTAGCCACACCCACACTGCCGAGCGTTCATTGGCTGAATGGTGGCGTGAGCGATGGGCGAAGGTAAACATATGAGAAAGAAGGGAATCCTGTTGACGCCCTCTGAGGGAGTTGGTGTGAGATACCAATATGAAAGGGGAGGAGTTTAGGAGGACAATTACCCTTAAGAACCCCTCTAAAACAGAAAGTAATGGACTTCCAAAAATGGGAAGTGATAAGTTTTCCTGTCCGAAAACAAAGAAAATCCTTATTGCGGATTTGGAGTTATCGAGGAACACAAACCACGACAGGCCTCCACCCGGTTTTGGTCGGCGTCCATATAAACGAACGTCCCCAGAGTTTCAGACAGTAACACAGTTGGACAGTACAGTTGGAGTCACAGAGTTGAGTTGCAGTTGAGCTGTGAGCTTGGAGATCAGCCTCGCAGGAGCTGACTGAAAGATTTCCACGCATTCCGGCTTAGACTTTTTTTTTTAAGAACGACTTAGACTCACACCACCAAAACACGTTTTAGGAATATCGCCTTATGATACCAAAAACCAGTTTATTGAAAAACAACTTAAGATATTAAGACTCGCCTAAGAAACGCAAAGTGTCACGAATCCATAGAAGCGGTTTGGGAGAAAAACTCAGTCCTGTATTCAGCAAACAGATATAAAGATACTTGTTATTTTTTCAATACATTTGAATCTTTTGAGTTGTTTCATTATTTTCTTTTACATATACTTGTGCGGTATCACCTTTGCCCCGGATTCAGCTTGCACTACGGCCCGACGCCTGATTGATTTCGTCTACCTAAGATCAAATCACAACGTGGGTAGGTTAGACTAGAGGTCAAAGCAGTTACTTCGGTAACCAGACGTTGGATGCGAGCTGGGAACGGCAAGGCTGATATCGAATCTAACCAGATTTCCATCCGAACCAGCCAAGGGTTAGATCGTCACAGGATAGCACAGAAGCAGAACCAGGGTGACGTCACATCTTCCTCTTCCTTTCGTTGATTTCTTATTTTCTTTCCTTTTTCTTTATAAAACTCCTTTTTACCTTGTATGGAAAATGTTTCAATAGCGGAAAATGAAGTGATGTTTCATAGATTGCAATTTTAAATAAGATCGTTTATTAACATTATTGTTAACTATCTGAAGAAACGTTTCATTTAAACTTCGAAACAAAATGTACAATGCTATTTACATGTTCTAATGTTAGAGTATATAATGGATATTTATTGCTCTACTTTTGTATTGAGTCCTGTTTTAAATTAATATTTTGAACGCTGCAATGTTATTCTTCCTTCATTTTTATATTTGGATATATATATATATATATATATATATATATATATATATATATATATATATATATATGTGTGTGTGTGTGTGTGTGTGTGTGTGTGTGGTGCAGTTTAAATTATATTACAATGAATTATTCATCCAAAAATAAATTAGTAAAGTTAATGATATAAAGTGGCGAATTCATTTCGCTAACTAAAATGCATTAACCTACTAACCACTCGATGAATGTTATGATCCTTTTTTAAATTATAAACTGTATTAGGTCTTCCTGAAATAAGCAAGTACTTTCGACTGGTTCTTCGGTCATCATATATTTGATTTAAAAGAACACATACCACGTGTAACTGAGACATTGCTCTACTTATTGATCTGTTTAGTTCATGTCACGTCGACTGATAAACTCATAGAACAAAAAAATCTTAAATTGCCATATTAGTAAAAAAAAAAAAAACGCTCTCACTTAAATTTTCAAAAATTCAACCTTAGCGTTACGACTGCAAGCTCCTCAAGTTTGTATATCTTATCAATAACACACTTCAGAAAACATATTTCGATTCGTTTTATACTTTTTCGTCTCGGATGCTACCTGAATTTTACCAAAAAGAAAATAGTTTCCATGCCTGATGATGAACGGAGAACCCGTTGAAAGTACTTTCATATTTAAGGAAGACCTAATACAACAAAGATCGTAACATTCACCAAGTGGATAGTGGGTTCGAGTGCATTTTTAAAATTTAGTTAGCGAAGGGAATTCACCATTTTGTCTCATTAACTTTACTAATTTACTTTTGTGTGAATGATTCATTGTATACATATACAAGTATATATATATATATATATATATATATATATATATATATATATATATATATATATATATATATATATAGATAACTATACTCGTTTCGAAAAAAAACTCGAATTTTTGATTTGCCAATAATCAAATCAATCTCGAGGGAAAAAAGGTTTTAAAAAAGAAAGAGCTACAAACATGAAAGTCTGTCAGAAAAAAAATCGCACAGATGCAGGTCTGAAGCCCAAAGAAAAAAACCGACACGAGTAAACAACTAACTAACAAAAGAGCTCAATACAACCGTAGAGCAGACCTAGATAAACCTAGTGGGCCAGACAAGCCTACCTAGGTAGATTTGTCTGGATCACTAGGTGTATCTATCTATCTATATATATATATATATATATATATATATATATATATATATGTGTGTGTGTGTGTGTGTGTGTGTGTGTATGCGTGTGTGTGTATGTATATATATGTATTTATGTACGTACATATATCTATCTATATATATGTATATATACATATATATGTATATCTATAAATATATATATATTTGCGTGTATATATGTGTGTGTGCATATATGTGCATTTTTTCTATTAAATGCAAAAGGATATATAATTTGTGTATATTGGTGTTATTAAATTATGTACGTTTGGAAAGTAATTACTATTATGTAATATTAGAATATTAATTTATTTACATCTGCATCAGTCAATTTCTGTGCAGACAGTTGTTTTTACGCTAAAACGTATATTTGCTATCGGGCATCTGTGTGTGCAGTCCGCTGTGTGAAGATGAAATAAAGAAACATAATCTGAGGGAAGCAATCGAGTCAAAATTTCCAAGCATATTTTTGCGGATACGTTTACCATTTTCTAGTATTGCACATATGGATATGCATAGATAGATAGATAGATAGATAGATAGATAGATAGATAGATAGATAGATAGATGGGGCCGACACTATTTTTGGGACACTTTGAAAAGTGTGTTTAAAGGTGTTTTTTGCTGTCGAGAGCTTTTGTGTTGATGAGTAGGTAGTTCAGCAGTAACTGTCCATTAATGGTATGAATATTGATTGATGGGTTTGCCTTTGGTTTCATGTTTTCTTTATTTTTACTTCAACTTAGGCGACACTATTTTTCGGACATGACACAAATTCCGGGTTTTTTAATGATTTAGTCGTCGAACGTCTACAATATGCAAATTTTCTGCAGGCAAATTGTACCCTGACCATTACATTTGAGTATCTTTACCATTTACTTTAAAATCCTGAAGAAGAATGCATTCAAAAGAAGTCATCAGTTTGGTCCAAAAGAAGAGAGAAGACGGGCTCAGCATCCGAAAGATCGCCGCTGAGATGAAGCTACCGAAGTCAACAGTTGAATACATGCTAAGTAAAGAGTGGAAGAAGAAGAAGAAGAAGAAGAAGAAGAAGAAGAAGAAGAAGAAGAAGAAGAAGATAGGACGAAAAAAAAAACAATTTCCAAGAGAACAGAAAGAAGAATGAAGAGGTGTGTTACGAGGTTGTTATCATCTGGAGAAAAGGTGACAGCGAAGAAAGTAAAGGAGACATTGGACTTAAGTATGCTAAAATCAAGAAAATAATTACACTAACGAGAAAACACAAGGAGGCAAGGCTGGGAAGCGCCAAAAGATGGATAACAAACTATGTCGACATCAAGAAAGTGATATTTACTGATGAAAAACGTTTTAAGTTCGATGGACCTGACGGGTGGTGTACATGGTCGAGAAAAGATGAACCTGTTATTCTCAACAAGAGACAGATGGGAGGAGGAGCAGTCATGGTTTGGGGTATGGTATTTCCGAATGGAATCTTGTGACTCGAGTGGTTAAAAGGACGTCAAAATAGCTTGAGCTGCAGAGAACTTTTGGAAAATAGAGCCCTACCACTCATAGAAAAAGAAATGGGAAGAAATTTCATTTTGCAGCAAGATAACTGCAGCATCCCTGTGGCCAAATCAGTGAAAAATTTGATGTGTGAAGCAAATATAACTACTCTGGAATGGCCTGCAAGAAGTCCAGACTTAAATTTAATTGAAAACATATGGGAAATGCTTGCAGAGCTTGTTTACGACGGGCCAGAAATAACCAGAGAGGCTGAACTGTGGCAGCGCATACAAGATGCTAAAAATAGACTGCTAGAAACACGAAGAGACGTTATTATCAATATGTACGAACATTATGAAGATAGACTGATAGAAGTCATTGAAAAAAAGGGTGCTGCCATAAACTATTAGCATTGTTTCTGCAATGTTCAAAAAATACTGTCGCCTGTGTAATATGAAAATTTGTAAAAAAGTAAAAATACTTCTAATTTGAATTCTGCTTTTCCATTTGTAATATTGAAACAGTTTTTAAATGTTATTGCCATTACGCTAAAACAATACAGACTGTCTGTGCTACCTAAAACTTGAAAAAATAAAGTGTCTGAAAAATAGTGTCGGCCCCCTGTAGATAGATAGATAGATAGATACTTATGCATTTATATTAGTTTCTGTGTGTCTGTGTGTGTATACATTCTTGTTCCTTTATATAAATATGCTAGCTTGAAACTTTGTTACTTCTCTAAAAGTGTCAATGCGTCTTGCCATGTTATAAGTCTTTATGGTTAGATATATTTAATTCTTTCTTATCCTGTTTGTGTGTGTTTGGTGTCGCCAAAGCGCATTCTTCTTTTCCCACTTGATATTGATATATACCATACAGATATAATACGGAAGGATTTTATATTTTATCTTAATCTGATTTGCATTGCTTTAATCTCGTTTGGAGCAATTTTTCTTTCTCTGACAATAATATCAGAAAATGAATGTGACGGCCATGTATGTCATAAGGCATGCGAGCAGATTACCTAAAGAACAAAAACAAATGTGTATAAAGTCTGTAAGATCAGAAAACAGCAGATACTTCCCCAAAGACACCATTCATGTAGCTGTTGCCACCACCGTCGACAAGTCTCACAAAAGATCGGAACGAAAGAGTTATTTTAATAAAAATAGATCGGTCCAACTGCGGCTGATTGTACCCAGTATGGAGATTAATAACTACAGAAGCTGAAATCAATGCTTATTATGTATTTTTTTCTTACGCTTTTAACACGCTTTAAAACCTTCATAGTAATTCTCATTTTTATTTTTCGAAAAGTAAATAACTGCAAGGATGTAACTGCACTCAGTAATTCAAATAATTGCGTGCTTGCTCGTTTCTCTTCCTAAAGTAGTTACAAAAGCATTAGTACATTAAAAACGCACATACAAGCGTATTCACTGTTACAAACGGACACAGCCTATGAATAGAGGACCTGTGACGGACATGTATGAGATGGGATTTATACTGAAGTATGAAACATGTACAGAAATGCTGGAGAGGACATAGCTGTCCAAATTTAATTTAACTTGATAGTGAATGTTCATACACCTTTGCATTAAACAATGCTCCATATTTGCCTATTCGTGTTGTCTGCCACTTTGAATCGTCTATCATTTTGATTCGTCTGAGCGATTTTTCCATTTTCCCTTTTATGTTTCCTGGGCCTTTGCGGCTGTTGCAGTTTTCTTGATCTGCCCTTCACTTGCCACTTTTCACCACACGTCTCTTGTCGTAATTCTCTATTTCTCGTTCTTAATTATTTTCTTTCACTTTCGTCGCTTATTTCCCTCAACTCTCGAGATCGATGCTCTAGACGTCACTCCCACCCCACCTGATTTGCTTATAAACTTTCACTCTATTTTTTGTTTATTTTATTTTTTGTAAATTTTATTCGACCAAATTCATTTTCTATTATCGCTTCTTTTTTTTTTTCTTCTTTCTAGTTCTCCTTATTTTTTTTTTCTTTTCATTTTTTGGTTTTACACAATTCAAATCTACGCCAAGTCAACTACATCATCCTCTACTTGCCTATCAGTCTATTCATTTTAATTTTCATCATTTACTGTGACCATTCACGCTTCTCTCTTGTTTTTCTTTCTCCCTTTCTCAAAATATCTCGCTTTGTAATTTCATCAGTTTCCTTCTCGTTTCTCTTAGATGCGTAGACATTTCACTCTTTCATTCTCTTAAATCTGATTTTGTTTTTCTTTATATAATGCTTTTGAGAACATCGTCCACACTCCATTCGTTCTTTGGCCTTTTTACCCCTTATTCGTCTTCGCCAAATCCTCTGATCTGGAAGGTATCCAATTTAAAAAGTTTTCAAACCACTCTCCTCGCGCCTATTTATTAGATAGCCCCGTTGAACTTACAGCATTATCGTCCGCACTAACGTCTTTGTTTTTCGAATTATGTTCCGCTTAATTGTCTCGCGCGGCTATCGTTATTGTTTGCAAAAGGCAGTATCAGTGTTCACTGAAATGCCCAACTTCTTCTTTTATCCTGCCTACCCTCTATCCACCATATAGCCAGTAATTTGCTTTTTGTCTTAATTTTTCCACAAAGGCCCACAAATCATTCACCTCTAACCTTGACTGTGATCTCGATTTTCTTTGTTGATTCACGTGGGTATTGCAGATTTTTTGATTGAATAAATGTATTTATGAGCAAAACGTCATATGTTTAATCTTGCTTTATAATTTTCGCATTAACTATATTCTCTCTCTCTCTCTCTATCCATATATATATATATATATATATGTGTGTGTGTGTGTGTGTGTGTGTGTGTGTGTGTGCGTGTGTGTGTATGTGTGTGTGTTCATATGTAATTATTTTCGTTATAAAAATGATGAAGTCGACTGAAAAATGAACCGTTATTGTAGCTTTTCCATTTTGTTTTTCTTATTTTGCTTTTAAAATTGTTTTCTTGTTCTTCTTGGGCCTATAGAAGTTACTGGCTTTGAGGGTCATTCGCTAGATACAATTCTTATACGATTGAAATATCTAATTATATAAGAATGCTGTCTACTTTTAATCAGACGCACGGACTGTGTCATAACTAATAAATGAATAAAATTGAAAATATTCCAAATTCAAATTCAATGCTTTTATCTATTTGCGAAATACGTGTTTAAGACGTCCTAAGTCTTCGTAATTCCATAATAATATTCATATTTAAGTCTGCTGTTTTTTTACGACCAAGAAATCCACACTAATTTTGCTGTTAATGGACCAAATATCTGTAGAGATATCGTCATCATTTTTATTAGTGGCTTTCAGATTCATCAAGTGAAAAAAGGTTTCCTCAGAACTTATTCTCTTCTCTATTTTAGCTGAATTTAATAATTTTATAAACTGGTTATTACGAGTTTTCCTCAAATGTTCAATTCTTCTAATCTCTTTTGGAAGCCCTTCAAGAATGTTCAAAGTTTTCTGTTAATGATGTGTGCCACCACCTTTATATTTCACACTTCTTTTCGTTCTCTCACAAAGTGCAGATATTTTGCGAACTTTTCATTTTCTTTTAATTTTACTCTATCATCAGCGTTCACTAGTCAACAAATATAGTAATTTAACCTAGAATAGGTCAGCGCTTGGATTTTAGAATCTCAGAAAATTTTACTGCCTGTAAATGTGTTCAGAGATACGAACTCCATCTTAGAATTTGACGCTGTTCCCAGGTTTTGTCCAATCCGTTTATCGCTCCACGTCAGGATCAATAATGAAAGAGGAAATACATTTCTTCAGAAAAGTGATTTTAATATACCAACCGGATATTTCAGCAACGCTTTATACACAGATATAACCATACCAATACCTATATGCCCATGGAGAGTTATTTATACCTGCCAATTTTTTTTTAACGGTTTTCTAACCAAGCAAAAAAACAATATGATGTTGCAATCTATATTTGCCTGAATAAAATATCTAGTCTATAAACTGATAGACGCAGATATTTGAAGTTTTTCCCTTACCAATGGTATTCCAGAAAAGATTCTACAGGAGAGATTTTTCTCCCTGTATATACCAGTGGCTTCCAGTGATCATCATTCACTACATAATCTAGAGTTTTGTTTTGTTAACTCTGGCATCCTCTCATTATTTCCATAAAATTTTCATTTACTATTTTGCAGTCTCCTGTCTATTTTGATCTCAATATTTAATTTTTATGATTAACTATTATTCAGGACTCAATTTTATTTCTAGTTTCCTCTTCGTAACCATGTCATTCATCTCCTATTTCTTTTAACTTTTAAAATGCCAGTTTAGTTTGCATATTTTCTTCTCCTATGTGAGTGTTCTAATTTCACATGTTCGTTTGTCAGTTTTACTGAAATTGCTGACAGACTTGACCAATATTTGATTATCAGTCTTTTCTCTTAATATGCGCTATAAAAAGCCATCATTATGATTCAAGACTTTATACAGAATCATTTATTTATTCTTTATTTCTTATTTTGTGCAGCCTGGGAAGTGTCCAGAAAAAAATCTCCCTATGGACACTGTCCGGGTAGTTATTGAATTATTTCTTTTATTAAATCTAATTAAAAGAAAATCTTCTTTAATTTTCAAAGACATTGTTTTTGACTGGGCGGTGTCCGTTTCATTTTCAAGCAACATGAAAAAGGTTATACTGGATTTGCTCTATATAATTAATCGAATTAATAATGAAAACATGATTAAAAATAAATATTTATTGCATAGTGTAATTATTGTTTTATCTTTGAGATACGGATGTATGGTCTTTTTTCTTCGAACTATTATTCTTCTGTCAACCACTTGTATTATCTTTTAACTTTTATTAACATGCACGCACATATAAAATGAACACATATATCAATGTACACATGAATATATATATATATATATATATATATATATATATATATATATATATATATATATATATATATATATATATATATATATATATAGAATAGTACGCACATAAACACATTGACACTCCAAGTACAGAAACATACGTATAGAAAGAAAGAAGAAAGAGAGAGAAAACTAAGTAAGAGAGAATAAAAGAGAATGGTCAAATATAAAAAAAGAACTCAAGAAAAGGTAATTTATTTTTGGAATTTTCTGGATGTTGAATTCACTGCTGAATGTGCATGTCATTAAATCTCCGGTTACTGGAGTTAATTAACAAAGCTGAATCTCTCATGAACATTTCATTTGAAGCCGTTCAGGGAGCGAACTCTTAAAAAATGTTTCCAGCTTTCTACCCGGTAATTATCAGGCTTTACATAAAACATATAATAAAATACATCAAATCTCTCAAAATCATATAAAATGAACGCATTAATCTCTCTCTCTCTCTCTCTCCCTATATACCTATATATATATATATATATATATATATATATATATATATAGAGAGAGAGAGAGAGAAGAGAAATGAATTAGTACATTGCGTATTTATACAATTTCCTAGATGAAATTTTTTCCAAAATGAGTAAAGGAAGGAGAGCGAGGAAATTGTTTATAGAATGACCTTATAGAATAGCATTTTCTACACTAGCATATGTTCTGATCAGCACTCTGAACAACGCCATTAACGCTACAAGGCAGGGAGATAAGAATTTGCTTCGTTTGTATTTTCAACGATTTCAATCTTCTTTGATGAGCAACAAGTTGATCGGGCAACATTTTGTGTCTTTACGAAGATCGATTTGGGCAAAAAGTTCTGTTTTTGACGTTGGGACAGCGGTGGAATAATTGATAGCGGCTCGAATTGAGAAATCTGGGAGCCGAGTCGAATTCCAGGCGAATCCATGACATTCACTTACGTGCTAATACCCTTGGGAAAGGTATGAATCCTCTTCTTCCCCCATGGGCAAATAGAAGGACAGACCGGGTTCTAATGGTCTGCTGCAGTAAAAATGGCATCCTCCTGCTGAAAACTGACAGCGCTTAGTTTCAATCAATTTGAAAACTGCCCTCTCAAAGTGTATTGTTGATTTTCTTTCGTAACAACAACAACAATAATAACAATAGTAATAATAATAATGACAATCTGATCAGCAGTTTTAACATGGCTAGCACGCTTAAACCCTCGACCACGATGACTTGTGACTTCGTACTAGCACTGACAGCTTCCGAAATGTTCCGTCTACCAAATTTCACTCACAAGGCTTTTGTCAACTTGTGGTATATCTTGCATGCATTTTCCAAACTTACCGCACATTTGTAAAGCTCTCAAGGACGAAAAGCACCCATTCGCCCATACACGCGTGCACGCATATATATATATGTGTGTGTATATATATATATATATATATATATATATATATATATTGTATGCAATTTTATAATTTTTTGTAAGTACCGTGAATATCTTAAAGTCGCTGTGTATTTATGTGTGCAAAGTAACACTGCATTGGCATATTGATTTATTACATTTCATGGACAATGCTTTCATCTTCAGTATAACGACTATTTTCAAGTGAATATATTGATCAATCTTTTATTTAGTAATGTTTAATATTTATTATTTGAATTGTCTGCTTGACGTCATTAATGTTTATTGACAATATTTTATCTCCTCCCGGTTTCTACCTTACCTTTTTAATAGAATAGAGTACAACCAAATATTAGAAATGACGACAATGGAAGTGATTTTGATTTGACTCTTGTTAATAGTAATTACAAAATGATTGTAAAAATCATTTTTCAAGATGCTTCGAACATATTTGCATTACAATATCTATGTGGATCTAGTTTCATTTGAATTCAGTTGGTCTTCATTTTTAGGATTTGTTACTCAAGATTTGATTCGATCGACTTTTATATTTTCTGTTCTGCCATATCTAATAATACGAAAGCTCAATAAATGCTTTTAGTTGAACACTTTCAAATGCGCCATTTTTCATCTTCTTTTATAACTTTCTCACCTTTATAAACTTTACATAAACATTTGCCAAAATCTAGAAAATGCGGAACAAATAACTTCTTATTTTTTTCTTTGTGGTCAGTTTGTGTCCAGAAAACACGCCTTATTTGTAATAAAAACACAGAAAATAAATCTCTTTTCCCTTTTAGGTATTAAGATAAAGTCGAATAAAACCCAGCGTTATTGGAAAAATTGTAAAATATTGCCAAATCTGTACGGTAGATAACAGGTGAATGTGAGTGGGGATGTTCGATAAGCAAAGTAGACAGGATGTTGGGATTGGGCAAGGAGATGTTGAGAAAGATGATGGAAGTAAAAGAAAGAAAAGCAGAAAACATCGTTGTTACAGTGAAAAAGAAAGAAATTAGAAAGTGCGAAAACAAAAAAAAAAAGAAGACTAAATATCCGCAATCATAACAATGAAAGAAAAATGTAAAGTTAAAAGAAAGAAACTAAGAAAAAAAAAAAAGAGTAACGGACATTACCATAAATATTTCTAAATAGGAGACATACTCTGTAAAGTGTCATTCTAGTATACAACAATATTTAAATTGCAATCTTATGATTAATACTATTTATCTTCGTAAATAAAGATGGCAATGTTTAGGCAAATAATTTGATATCATCCATGTAAATGGAGTAGCATGTTTTGTTCATAATGTTGGAGAATTCGTATCCTTTACGGTTTGTTAAGATTACATTTTGTGGTAGTCCAGTTATGAAGATTAAAATGATTTTATGAAATAGAAATAGATTCAACTACATATGCATTAAGTGGCAAAATATGTCACGTTTGATGATCTCCTACGTTTACACATATGCATATGTACCGAATTGTTTACTTCATTACATTTGTATGTGCATATTAATACATTTCAATATAAGTTTCTGTGTCTCTAGAGGATTGTGTACTTGCTTGTTTGTGTCTATATAATAGAGCCTAATGCTATATAATTGCCGGCAGAATCTATATAGCATTATTTGTGTAAAAAGATCATCAGACCGTATATGTTATATGCAAATATCATGAGCGTCTGATTATTGCACGATAGGACGAGTCAATGGCAGACTGATGAAACATCAGCTCAACATTTCATAAGTCAATGGCAGACTCAGCTTGATTACCTTCTTGTAATCGATAAGGAGGATATACGTGCGTATATGGAGATGTGTGCGTGTGTGCGTGTGTGTGTGCGCGCTCGTGTGTTGTAGATATTGTAGATAAAAATACGGGCGTCGGTCAAAAGTAACGCCTTTTCGCTTTTAATTACAACTGATTTGTGCAAAAAGGCACAAAAATATATTTAAATTCCACAACCTAACTTCAACATAGTCACATTTAGTGATAGTGTACCTTTGATTGAAGGCACAGTAATTCATGGCTGCTTTCTTAGGCATGTGTGAGTTTCCTCTTTGATCTCATTGGAGAACAACTATCCACTTAGTTTTCACCGCGTTTTTCGCTTGCCATGGTATTAAGAATTTTGTAATCTCAAAAATTATATAATTTAATATTAATGTGTGATGAGAACGTAAAGTTCTAAATTACGACAAACTTGAACAGATAACATTTTCAGTGAAAAAAGAAAATGAAAACACTGGCAAGATAATGGTTTTAAGTAATGCTATAAAAAGAGATGGGAGAAAAAGTAGAAACAAGAATAGTGGTCTGACCAGCAAAAAATAGTTGATGGTGGTTTTGTAAATGGAAATAGTGAGCAAAAATGCAGATAATGAAAATTATTAAAAATGGCTTAAGATTTGAAAACAACTAAATTATCAACTTTAAGTAAACGTCATAAAGAAGAAACGGCCAAATTAAGCAAAGAATTACTTGAGAACTGATATTTTTAACAATAATTGTTAATGATGCATGTCCTGCTACATAGAATAAATCTGGTGGTTGAACCAAAGTGTGTCGTCCATGTTCAAATAACAGAAGGCAATAAGAGGGAAATGGAATGATAATTTTGGTAGATTATTGTGGGAAGTAAAATAATAAGTTACTTTAATGTTGTCCAGATGCAGAGAATTATTGTAAGTATTTAGAAAAGGATTTTCTTTCGAGTGGAACGAGTAACAATTCTTTAAGCTAATGTCTAAATACAATGTCCTACGACATTCTGCAAAACTGATTGTTGCCAACTGTTGTCAAAAATGCTTCTAGGTCATCAAATTAATCTAATGGCAATAATTTTCGGTAGATTTCAGTCGAAAAAGTAAAAAAGTTAACAAAATCAACGTTTGAAAAAGGTTCTATGATACCAAAGAACCTATATTAATAGACGAAATAATAGAATAATAATTTGTTTAGGTTTGTGGGATTCTGTGTTAACCAAACATATATTTATACGGTATATTTACATGGTATTTGGATTTATCTACAAGTAAAAATATGTGTTGTATTTGTATGTACTTGACATCCACGAGAAGTTATCAGCTTTATTTATAATAATAAGAAATATATTGCTCAGATGAATGTAAGTTTATCATGGAAATTATACCAACGTCGTCTGGTTAATATCAATTTCATGCGAAGATATTGACTTGTATAATAAAATAAAGTTTCTTTATATAGATATGCGTATGTACATGAATGCGCACATCAACTGCGATATATCGCTATTTTTAAACCATTGCAAAATCACAAAGAAAATCTATCCACATAGCGCAATGTCGATCAATATTGTAAAACTTCTATAGGGAGGGAGGTGTATGTGTGTGTGTGTGTGTGATAAATTACTCCTGGTGTATACGCTTTTATGCGTATGTCGCAACGATTTGAAAGAAAAGGTTTGTGGCAAGAGTGACTACTGAGAATAGCAAAGTGAACTTCAGACACCGGTCTGACTTTTTCCCCATTAGATTTATGAATTAAATTATTAATACAAAAACAAAAAGAATAAATGTAGCAGAGAATTCTGGCTACACGGTAAATCATAAGATTTAGAAAGAAAGCGAAAGATAGATAGAGAGAGAGAGAGAGAGAGAGAGAGAGAGAGAGAGAGAGAGAGAGAAAAGGACGACAAATCGCCAAGTATACAGATTTCAATAGATATTTTCATTTCAGTATATGTGGGAACACATGCATTATAAACAAAGCCGAATCAATCATACACATACGTGATGCTGACACAAATCGAACAGTTATCACATTTTCCAACAAAGCTATTTGTTTTATACGCTTCATCGTGCCTATAGTACCATGTGTATGTGTAATATTATTATATATGAATTTATAAGTGATTTCCTTTTAAATGCATACACAAAAGGAGAATAAAACATGGAAGAATAAGTTCTAAAGACTGAAACGAAATATGGATTATTTTATTTCTTATCTGACGATGAATGAGCCTATAACAGTTTATATATATATATATATATATATATATATATATATATATATATATATATATATATATATATATATTATATACACCTATATATGTAGAATGTCATATGGAGCCTTGTGCTCAGTTTTATTATTTTGATGTTGGTGTTTACAAGAATGTTTGACGGTTTTTGTTTGAATCATGGATGGTAATTTACAAAAGCATTCGTGAGAGTTGCGCAGAGAATAATTGCCTAAAATGTGAATAGCGGTGATTATCGCCTAGCTGATTTTCAGATTTAAACATACGTCAAAATATTTGCGCCAAAAAACATGGTGGTTGCGCCGCGTCCATTCTACACTTCTTCATGTGACCTTTTTTCTACATCGTCTGAAAACTAATCGGAAAGGTTCATATATCCTGAGAGATTGGATTCTCTTGGGGCTTTCGACAAAATTGCCACTAGGGAGTATCACACAGAATTTCAGCAGTGGGAAACGGTCGAATAATGTGTCAAAAACAGAATACTTTAAAAAAATAGATTTCACTTCATAACATTTTTTAAAAATAATTTCTGTTAATTATTGGTATATTCCTGTTGCGTTGACGAATTTCTTTGTCCTAAGTTATTTGTTTACTATTAACATAATGTGTGCCGGGACATTTTACTTTGAAAACAGTTTATCTGTTGTCATATTTTCCCGTTCTGGTCACAGTAAAATTTGTACCTGAAACAGATGGAAATCGAAAGTCTTTAGCTGAAATTAAAGATGAGGATCGTCAATTTCCCATGCAATTCTGATGATCTCCACTTCAGAATATATGAAGTAAATAACTGTGGGACATTTTAACCAAAAATAGGCCTTAAAAACATGAATATCAGAAAAACTTTGATCAGATTAAAGTTAAATTTTTCAACGCAACACTTCGTGTATCTATACAGGGTACCGTGGGTAAATTGTCCCCATTTTGTTTTTAATTTCGAGCATGCGTGTTGTTTGTTTCTGATGTTGTCACCTGCACAGTATAGTAGAGTTAGTTGGGCACTGTCTGTGAGAGAAAAAAAGACCACCATGACACATTTCACTCCGCCAGAAATTTGGAAATGGCATGCTTTACTGCTTGGCATTCCAATGCGAATATTTCAGAGTGCGTGTCAATCTGAAGACAGTGCTGAGTATTCAGAAAGAGCTGGATGATATAACTACTCAAGATCATGGTATTTGAAGTGATCACTAGTGATGGCGACATTATTATGCCTCCATTCATTTATACATAGGGCCTCAGACTCAACACCTGGGGCGGGGCTATATCTAATGCCTCGTGGAGGTACTGCTGCCCTAGTGGCTGCCGAACGACCCTATGTCTGGCAACAGGACTCTGCACCATGCCACACAAGACAATTTTTGAGACCCTACCACCACTCACATCTGGCCACGTAACTCCCTAGACTACAAACCAATTATTATGTATGGGGTGTAATTGAGAGAGATACCAACAAAACTCTTTATAACACCAAAGATGAACTGAAAGCAAGGATTATGACAGTATTCACCAACTAAAACAATGGGATTTGCAGGAGATTCCTAAGTCGTCTGGAGGCCATGGTTGAAACCAATGGCGATTTTATCTACTAAAAAATAACGTTTGAAGTAATATATATATATATATATATATATATATATATGTGTGCGTATGTGTGTATGTGTTCCACAGACAGACTGTTTCGCTGTATCACAGCTCATCGGTATAGTAGATTGATATATATATATATATATATATATATATATATATATATATATATATATATATATATAAACACATTTTACATTGTTCCGACTGTTGTCCTCATCTTTGTTTCGGCCGTTATACTCTCCGACCTTCTTCAGTTAATTGGAATTTTGAACCGAACTCTTTCTTTCGTCTACCCGGGTAAATTGTTCTCGTCCTAGTTTCAGTTATTTCCCTCTACAAGTTTTTGTTCACCTCTGCTGTAGCGAGGGTCTCTTCCGAATACTCACTTTCAGTTATTTCTCTCTCCAAGTTTTGTGAACATACAATTTTCTGTTCATATTGAACTCACAATTCTCTGGGTCACTGGTTTATTTCAACCAACGCTTTTATCCACTGGGCCATGTGTCTTTGTGAACATCAGTGTATGGGACTTATAAACCTATCTTATTAGTATTTTTTACCAGAGCTCATATTACAATTTGTTATTTTTTTTCTCTAGCACTCCGTATTACTGGTACCCCATATTGCATTCATGTCTATGTTTGGTCGAATTAGGAGATTTTTGTGTTCTAGCATATCCGTTGATTCCTTAAGATTTGGTATTTTCCAGGACGTTCTCTGTTCTAGTGACCCATTAATTGGAAAGATACCTTCACAGACATCTTTTCCGAGTAAGACCTCCCATAGAAGCGAACTTGATTAAGGACTGTGTGCAGCCATACCCTGCAGTTGTGGCAAGAAATATAAAAGAGAAAAAAGCTGCCCTCTTAAGGCAGGAACACGGTAAAGCCGTAACACGTGCGGAAATAGAAAAATCAGGCGTGGATGACTATAAATTGAGGGAAAAAGGTGATTACTGTCCTTTGTGGGATGAGTTTGAAATAACAGACCGATAATATAACAGAAGCATAGACTGGAATAGTATATGGGGACCAGTAATACAGAGTGCTACAGAAAAATAACAATAATAACAAATTGTAATATGAGCTCCGATAAAAAGTGTTTACTGAGACATTAAGTTTATAATTCCCAAAAATGAATACACTATTGCCTTCAAGGACACATGGCCTAGTGGATAAAAGCATTGGTTGAAGTAATCCAGTAAGAGTTGTGAGTAGGTGTATTTGGCGACAGCAGAGTTGAACAAAAACTTGGAGAGTTGATGTAAAGGAAAATAACTGAAAGTAAGATATCCGGGAGAGACATGGCACGTAGAACTAGAACAATCTACTAAATAAATGGTTCGGTTCGAAATTCCACTGAAAAAGGCCGGAGCGTACAACGGCCGAAACGTAAATATTGGCAACAAAGATGAAGACAACAGTTCGAACAATGTAAATAGTGTAAATAATTGCAATACTTCATCTCAGAAATATATATATATATATATATATATATATATATATATATATATATGTGTGTGTGTGTGTGTGTGTGTGTGTGTGTGTGTGTGTGTGTGTGTGTGCAAATGTGTGTGTCGAAGTTACGCTGGTGATTTCTTTTAAATTTCTGCTATGTTCTTTTTTTGATTTCTGTCTATCCATAATAAGTAGTTGATTGCAAAACAATTACTCGTCACCTTTCCCCATTTATTCGTTTATATTTCTTCAGAAATTGCTCTGTATCTTCGATAGATAACTTTTCTTTTAAAAGATCATGTCACTGGTATGTGACTGGCATTGAAGAAGTGAGTGAGAACTTAGCGAACCCACTTTTCCATAACATACTTATCTTCAAAGCAAAAGCATTCACAAAGGCCAATAACAGTGATGGTAATGCTTTGGAATTTTCAATGCATGACAGATATCAATTCTTTGATTGTTTCCAAGTTGCTTGGTATTTTTTTCTCGTAATTAATCTCTACTTGATATACTTATCAACAAAATGGAGGTGAAAATTCCGCAATTACACTGCGTGCCAAATTATTATCGAGATTTTTTTTTCTAATATTTCAAAAACCGTCCAATCAATTCACACAAAATTTTCACACAATGTTAGCAACACTGACCTGCGCAATCACTGAAATGTAAAAAAACTGGCGCCATATTTGTTATCAGCAAGGTGATTTGAGCGTGCCAAATTATTAGAAAAGTGTAAGAATTTAGTAAAAAGATGGGCCATAAAAGCAGTTTAAGTAATGCTAAAAAGAAAACTATCACCTCAGAACTCTCAAAAGGTAAATCTACCCTAGAAATTTCTAAAATGATAGGGAGGTGTCCTCAAACAGTGAAAAAGTTCACCGCCGCCCCTACACAATTACGCAAAATGGCAGATAAAGGCAAGCCAAGGATTATTTCACGCCGTCTCATGTCACGACTTAAACGAGGAGCCACAAAGAACCCTGCACTTACCAGCCAAGAGCTTTTCAGTTGTATTGGGGATCCTACTGTGTCTAAAAGTACTCGTTGTCGGTATATGAGGGAAATAGCAACAACAGTCAAACCTGTATCGAAGCCTCCGTTGACGAGAAATCACATTCAAAATCGATTGAAATGGGCCGAGGAAAATATGAAGATTGACTTCTCTAAAGTTTTGTTCACAGACGAAACTCGAGCAACACTTGATGGGCCAGATAGATGGTGCAAAGGCTGGGTAATGAACGGACAGAATCGCCATCAGCGTTTGAGACGCCAACAAGGCGGTGGAGGCATACTGATCTGGGGTGGTATTATTGGAAAAACATTAGTGGGCCCATGGAGAGTACCAGATGGCGTCAAAATGACTGCTGATGCATACATCGCATTTATGAAGGAGCATCTTGAACCGTGGATGAAAAGGCAAAGAGTTGCCTTCAGAAGGACCATTGTTTTTATGCAAGATAATGCTCCCTCACATGCTGCTCACAAGACTACTGAATATTTGAAACAGTTAAGCTTCGATGGACCTCGAAAAATGTAGTGGCCAGCAAATTCTCCGGATTTGAACCCAATCGAAAACCTTTGGAGCATCATGAAGCGAAGACTGTACGCCAACGGACGACAATTCAGGAGCAACGCTGA